TATTTCTGGCCATGTCCAGTCTATTTCTTTGTTATCACCTTCCTTCCCCCTCTCTCTCTTCTGCTCCCTCTCTCCCGTCCCCACACCCCATCTCCTCTCCTCCCTTTCCCTCCTTTCCCTTCCCCTCCCCCTTCCCCCCTTACCCCCCATCTCTCTGTCTCTTTTTCATCTATAATAAAAACCTCCATTAATCATACCAAGGAGCAGCCATGTCATCACTTTATACACTAAAAATTGATGTGTTTGAACAGATATATCTTTAAAAAATAATTCTTGAAAGTGTCTTATCAGATGACTTAATCTTTTTGCATTTTTATAGTTACAAAATTGATCAGACGTTACACAGAATGTATTTATCTATCCCTAACCTATATACAAGTTCACCGTGTTTCACTGTCTTGCACTTGTATGGTATGTGTATGTATCCCTTCATTTGAGTAAAGGCTTACTCCTAGCCTTGAGCATGTTTTTTGACAAGCACATGATGATGTGCTTCCAACGTCGCAGCCTCATATAGAAAACTTCAGCAGCCCCAAGAACCCTGTGTGTGCCACCTATTTGTTTCTCTTGCTAACCACTGCTAGCATCTTTTCTTTCCTTTGGCCTTTGTTGTGGTTGGTTGGGTTTGGTATGGAGGTTGTGGTTGTGGTTGTAATTGTTTCTCCCATTTCCGAAGCTTTACCTCTTCTTCTCATGTAGGTAGGGTTATACATGTACCTTATTATATTTATACTGATAGCTTCGTAAGATTGACTTCTTCAGTTTACAGTGTTTAAGGCTCTTTGTGCTAATGGCTTATGGGCTCCTGTCTTTATTACCAGTGGATGCACCACAGTTACCCATTTATCTATTGTGTGACATCATGAATGTCACCTGTCTTATTTTATTATGGATTGACTGCTATAAACATTTGTATGCAGAAGTAAGCTTTCAGTACAGTTGGGTACATGCCTAGGAGCAGAGATTGTTGTATCATATGCTCAGACTGTTTAGCTTTATAAGAAACAAACAAATGTTCAGTGTCCGTGTCTCTGCATGTGTACTCTTAAAAATCAGTCTGATCTCTGGCTGGAGAGCTGGCTCAGCACTTAAGATTACTGGCTGTTCTTCAAGAGGACTTGGATTTGATTCCCAGAACCCACATGGCAGCTCACAGCTACATGTAAATCCAGTTCCAGGGCATCTGTATCCCTCTTCTCACATCTGTGATCACCAGGCCTGTGGATGGTGCAAGCCATACATGAGGCAAACACCCATGCACAGAAAATAAAAATAAATGTTCAAAAAAAATCCAAAGCCTGGAAGCATGCACTCTAAACTATCAACAGTAGTTACCTTAGGAAGATGAGAAAGCGGAGTCCCATGTTTGCTGACATTTTAATTTTTTTTTAAAACAAATCTTACTCTATGATAGTTTTATAGCCTTTTTACCAAAAACAGTTTTTTAGTTTGTGAAAAATAAAAATAATAATGAATCAACAAGAGCAAAACCAAAGTGGTTCAGTCTACTTTCAGTCTTATGTGACAGGAAGTTGGAGTATTGTATTCTCTGTATTCACGGGATTGGTAAAGCGCCTCCCAAAGGTCAGTCTTCAGGACTACACACTTAACCAGCCTTGAGATACCAGCAAGACTTGGAATAATGAATATCCTGAAGCTAGTTTGTGTCTGGAACTGTTTCAGGCAGTGTCTCCTGAGTTAAGCCTTGTGTTTCTTACCTAAGACTAACAGCCTTGACTTAACTTGTGGCCTTAATTGCCTTCTGTGCTTGTGTAGCTCTCTGGTGTTGTTGGTCACCTTTATGCTTCTGCCCTTCTTCCCAGCAAGGAACTTCCACTCTGTCCATAATGCTTTCCTGTTTTCTATAGAATTCTAGTGAAGGGTTTAAGAGGTTGTCCTAGACAAAGTGACAGTCAGGAAAGGTGCTGGTGTGCAAGCAAATGAGCGCTCAGTCCTCAATTTGCTACAGGCTGATGAGAAAAGAATTTTCTCTGGATTTTATCCCATCCTTCAAGGTGAATTTTACACGTGTTGGAAGGTGTCTGGCCGTGTGTGTGTGTGTGTGTGTGTGTGTGTGTGTGTGTGTGTGTGTGTGTGTGTTCCAGTATATTTAAAAGACTTTTCTGTGGATTAAGTTGAGCTTTTAAGACTTAAAAAAAAGAAAAGACTTTAATGTATAATAAATTCTGTGACATTAAAAATCACCACAAATAATGCGGGGCAGTGGTGGTGCACGCCTTTAATCCCAGCACTTGGGAGGCAGAGGCAGGCTGATTTCTGAGTTCGAGGCCAGCCTGGTTTACAGAGTGAGTTCCAGGACAGCCAGAGCTACACAGAAAAACCCTGTGTCGAAAAACCAAAAAAAAAAAAATCACCACAAAGACCTAGAAATATAGCTTGTCTAGCATGCATTTATCCCCATGCATCAGTGAATGAATAAATAAAGTCCTCATAGAAACCATCAGTTCAGTGTGAAAGATGATTATTATGTTAGTGGATTTTTTTTTCAATAAAAGTTGTCAGTATTAAATATTATACAATTAAGTACTTTATTAAGTACCTATTACAGTTGAAAAGGAAAGAGGGGCACTCTGTTCTGACAGGAAGGAACCTCATCGACTGGTGATCAGCACACAGTCATTTGATTTTCTCAGCTGAATCTTTTTATAATTAAATTAATTGAATTAAATAACATGTGAAGGATTCTAAAAACCATAAAGCAATACAGGTTTAATAGCCATCGTCATTGTGCAATCTTTCTTCTAATACACGTTATAATCTACTAAGTAAGAATCACAGGAGTTCAATTAATTCTGCTTATTCTATAACCTCTTTCTTACCATGTTTTCTGTATGGTCTCACTGGCATGTGGACAGCTCGGTATATACAGTCTTCCTACAACCCAAGAGAGATTAAAATGCTCAACTGTAGCAAGAGCTACAAGACCTGAACTTAATGGGTAGTTCTTTTATTCAAGGACAAAAAAGAGTGTGTAAGAAGGTTGTAAAACTTCTCTGGTCCTGTTTTTCCTAAATGCACTCACGGTTTGAGGAGCAGTGACTAAAGATGGGGAATTAAAGAATGTCTTACTCCACCTCAGGAGGACTATGTGAGCTCATCATGTGTCGTTGGAACTTACGTTGTGGACAGTAATGGTTGTCCTCTCTTCTGCTTGTCTATCTTTCCTGTTTTCTACTGTGCTTTCTCAGCCTCTAGGTCTTTCTGAAGATGTCTTCTCTAATAGTCTCCTCCTGCATCTTTGTTCTATGTGTCCCCTTTCTTTGTCTTATTTCTCTGGTGTGATTTACTCAATCCAGCAGATTACCAAAGTTATTCTTGCCACATACTTTTCTTTTTTTTCAAAAGTTGACATTTAACATAAAGGTAAAGAGGTTATCAGTAATTGAACTTCATTTTCCCATATGGAATACAACGAAAATGAGATCTGATATTAATGATAAGAGTATACTGTTTTATGCTGTTTTAACAGCTTGTGTGAACAGCTTGAAGTGTTGATAAGCTTTGACATGAAATTCTATTATGTTAGACTTATGGAATCAATAAGGATGCACAATGTCTGTGATATTAGTAGGAACTACAAATGAACTATTATATGGACTATTTTAGACTAGCCACTTAAGAAGATTGTGTAGTGCATGTAGGAAGTATATTATTATTTTTAAAGCAATAAAAGTTTGTATCTACGTTAGATCTTGGTAGAATGCACACACCATCAAGGTGATGGGAGTACAAGTTCAAGTTTTTCAAATCAGTGTGTACATTATATACCATACTACATTTAAGGACAAAGTGTACTTTTAATGTGTCAAACAGTTCTTAGAATAATGTGGAAGCACGGATATTTTAAGTCCACATACCATTTAAGCTAAGAATTCTATGTTTCAGTTACCTTATTGATACATGCTGAAATATTTGCAGGGATATTCATTGTAGCACTAATTATAGTTTGGCCATGACCATTATAAAATAGTGGTTTTTCTTCTGAGGATTTGTATGAAGGACGTGATCAAAGCTATGGATAGATATAAAGCTGTGGCATTGTTACTCCTTTGTTAATAATTACAGAATGTTAAAATCCTAGATATACAACAGTAGTAAATTATATAACCTGTATTCTATAGGTGGAAGATTGCACCATTGCAAATGTTGTAGAAGACGGTAATGGGATCATCTTCCATTACACACACACATACACAGTCACATGCATGTATAGATGGGGAGGGGTAGGCATGGGAAAGATTGCTTACTCTTGAGAATTTAGACATGAATCATTCAGGTTTATTTTTTATTTAGTTGCCTGTGGTTATGATTATAGTATTAAATGAACATGGAGGTTTTGTGATTTTGTCCAAATGGAAATTGTATTTATTTATTCATTTATTGAAATTCTTACCGCTCCATGCTGCCAGCCTGGTTTCAGATCCTGAATTCAAATGATCCACGTCTGCCTCCCGTAGTCAGGGCTGCAGGCTGGTGCCATGGTGCCCACCTCATTTGTTCATTATTTAAACTGATACATGATAATGTTACATATTTATGAGGTTAGGACTGACAGGTGGATACACTGTATATGCGTAGGTCAGAGTAAGCCTGTCTGTCACCAGACACATTTGTGATTGGTTTGTTAATGTATGGGACATAATTTCTTATAGTCACTGTACTGTACAATAGAATGCCAGATTTATTTCCTCAATCTAGCTATGCTTTTTTCTTTCCTTTTACTGAGTAAATAAACCACATATAAAGAAAAACTGTTGTAGGAAATATAGTAAAAGAGGTGAAACTAAAGTAATTTTTAAAAAGACCTTTGTATCTTTTCTATATTTTTCTTTAATAGGAAAATGAGTATATTCATTTTACTGTAAATAAAGATTTGGATGTTTTGTTTTATTAAAAGCATGGTTGATAGGTAATTTATTACCATAGTACCTAATATTTATACAACTAACAAACTTGAATTTTTCTGTTTTCATTTTTAGGCTAGAAATGTACATACAGGAGAATTAGCTGCAGTAAAAATCATCAAATTGGAGCCTGGTATGTATTTCTGTAGTGTGATGTATGTATTTTGCTAGAGAGTAAACCCTACTTACTGTGGGTATGTTATATCAGTTTTTTATTTAGTTATAAGGCATAAATATTCTATATTTTTTCCTCTTTTTTTTCTTCCTAAAATAGTCTTTATGTATTCTTTCAGGTCAATAGAATATTTCCAATATGATCATATTAAATTATGTATTAAATTGAAAGATAGTCGCAACTGATGTGACTGTTTTGTTGCTAAAGGAAATTTAACTTGAAAAGTACATGTTCAAAAGTTTTAAGTTGCATCAACTCACAGTGACAAAGTAATTTTCTATAGCAATTATAGTGAACATTTTAACTTCATCTTTAGCCATTAAAAAATGCAATTAAGGGCTGGAGAGATGGCTCAGCAGTTAAGAGCACTGGCTACTCTCCCAGAGGACCTAACTTCAGTTCCTAGCAACCATGTGGTAGCTCACAACCATCTGTAATGGGATCCAATGCCCTCTTCTGGTGTGCACCATGTATGCACACAGAACACTCATAAATAAATAAAAATTTTTTAAAAAAATTCAATTAGAACTCACACACACAGCCCTAATTAACATTCTGGGAGACACTAAATAAAACCAAAACTAGTCAATGGCAGAAAGACTATAGGCAGGGTACAGGGCTGCTGGGAGTGGCAGGGGAGTGGGAGGGGGTGGGGAGAGAATGACCAGACTGCACAGCTTACCTGTATGAAATGTGAAAGGACAAAGTTTTCTAATAAATATGAATCTAAAGCATTAATTATGGAAGACCCAGTGGCTTTCTAAAGAAAAAGTAAGTTAATATCCAAGATAATGGTAATCTGTATATAAGCTATTCCCTGATTGGTTTAGTTTTTATAAATCAGATCTCAGCTCAGTGCTTATTTGATCAGCACTTTACGTTTCAGAAGATTATTTTTAAACACCTTGAGATATTTGTTTTGAAAACAAAAGTCACATAAAACCTGGCCAGTTCCTGAAAGTGTTAGACCAGGGAGGTGAGTATTTGGTGGTGATCTCACCAGGTGGTCTCCTGGTTTATAAACTGAGGGATGTATGATAGGGCGTGGTTATAATTATTAGGGATTCTTAATCTGAGTGGCTTCTGTATTTCAGATACATTTTTAGATCATCATTTGCATCATCTCAATAGACAGATGATACTTGGAAATAAACCTATTTTGGAATGACACCATACCTTTTCTTGATACAATAACAAATTGTGATATTTCAGAATTCTTTTACTATTCCATGTGATAAGTATAGACTGATCTCTAAAATGTCACCAACTAAATAGATGAGACTGAGCAAACTTGCCTGGAGCAGTCGTTTGAGTAAACATCTCATGTTGTGTGCAGGGGGCTGGGCTCCCAAGAGGAAGCACAGATATTTATCTCTTTGCTGCCCACAGGAAGAGCATAGGGCCTGTACTGACTGATTTACTGGTACATGACTTACTTTTGATTATAGTTCACCTTGGTGAGTACATTTTAAAAGTCTGCAGGTCTCATTTACATATAGTGTAGAAAATGATTCAGTAAAAAAAGAACAAGATCAGAGCTAAGGAGGTGCCTCTCTAGGTAAATTAGTTGCCTTGCAGAGATAAGGACTAGTGTTGGGGTCCTCAGCAGCCTCAGATCTTCAGTGGGTGTGGAGGCCTTTCTGCGATTCCAGCACTAGTGAGACAGGGATCCCAGAGCAAGCTGGCTAGCTAAACTAGCCAAATGGCTAACTCTTAAGTTCAAATGAGAGACCCTGGCTCAGTGTATGAGGTAACAAGCCATCAAAAAGAATACTCACTGTCAATCTCTGGCCTGCATACACACATACTCATACATGTATGTTCACCAAGAAAAAGAGAACTGGATCATGTATGATACGGTTTAGCTTAGTGGTTAAATATGGGGTAATAAATTAAGCCTCTTTGAAAGGTTGGAACTCTCACTTCCTTGTTTTGTAAAAGCCATTGGTTTCCTATTAGAGGTCACCCATGAAGAGTAAGTAGTATTTAACTCTCCTTCACAAAGGAAACAGATTTCAGTAAACACTGATGATGTAACACTAGTATTTCACCATTTTTGTTTGTATGTGTGAATATGTACATGAGTGTGTGTGTCTATGTCTGTGTCTTTGCTGGTGTCTGTGTGTGTCTGAGTAGGTCAGAGGACAACCTTGGGTCCCTGTCTTCACTTTCCACCTTGTTGGAGATGAGGTCGGTCTGTTTACTACCACACACACTAAAGCTCTCCCTAGCTTCTGGGGAGTCTCTGCTCCCACCTTCCATCTTGCTGTAGCACTGGAATTGTGGACATATGTAACCACACTTGGCCTTGTAAGGATTCTGGGGATCTAAACTCAGGTCCTCAGGCTTGTGCCACAAACATTTCACCCAGTGAGCTATCTCCTCAATATTTGACCATTTTGTAAAACTTGTTATTGATTCTTTGTGAATTTTACATCATGCACCCCCACCCTTCTATATCACCCTCTGCCTTTGCAACCTCATCCCCCACCCCCAAATATAAGTTTTAAAAAAATCTCACTGTGGAAGCTACGGTGTGTCAGAGCATGCCCTTTTGTCTACACATCTTTTCTTGCAAATGTTCATTGCAGTGAGTCATTGGTCTGGATCGAGGCCTCTGGCTTCTGCTACACTGTCACCGGATCTTCACCGGGACTCTCTTGGATACGTGGCAGCTGACAGGTCTCTGGGTGTCCTCAGGCATCCTGCCATGCTTCTCAATGTCGGCCATTTTTCTAGGTTGTTAATTACGTGTCACCTGTTCTGCCTGCCCTCCTCGGGTTGTTTATTATCATCGTCATTATTATTACTGATTTTTAGATGTTGCCTGCATTTTGAGTTTAGTAACTCTTCACATCTGTGTGTCCTCAATGTATCCTTATTTTTGCACTCAGCTCCTGGTGTTTTTCTTGCCTGTCTAGAAACAGTCTTCCTTTCTTCTCTTTGCTCCCTTTTTATTATGATTTTGTTGTTTTGGTGGTGGTGTTGTCGTTGTTGTTTTGATCTTTTGAGACAGGGTTTTTCTATTTGGTCCAGAGAAATCTGACTGTCTCAGCTTCCTGACTGCTGGGATTAAAGCTTTGCACCACCACTGCCTGGCAGATAATTATATGTTTTTAAAATTTAGCTGAAATTCCTTATGGTTGTCTCCTTCCAAACTTAAAGGTCTACTCCCTTAGAACACTTTTGTTCTAAACAGCAAGCAAGCTCTAGGTGGGCGTTGTTGTTGTTGTTTTCAAATTGCTGAACAGTTTTTCCAATCATAACTACAAGTGATTTCTTTATTGGAAAATTTGAAGTATATTAAGTTGGGTTTATATCCTGATACAGTGGTTTTTGCCTTTTATTCCAAATTCAGTAACATCCTGGTTTTGAGTAATAATACCTTTTTATTATCTATTAAAATCCTCTTTTTTTCAAATGTTATTTATTTATTCTTTTTGTTTGTTTGTTTGTTTGAGACAGGGTTTCTCTGTGTAGCTCTGGCTGTCCTGAACTCACTCTGTAGACCAGGCTGGCCTCGAACTCAGAAATCCACCTGCCTCTGCCTCTGCCTCCCAAGTGCTGGGATTAAAGGTGTGTGCCACCACCACCCGGCTATTTATTCATTTATTTTGCAATAACATTCAATCTTTTTGTTTGTTTTTCTTCGGGAGACAGGAGTCTGAGTTTTGGCCAAGATAGCTTCAAACTTTTAGGCTCAGACATTCCTCCTGTCTCAGCATCCCAAGTAGTTGCAACTACAGCAGTCTGCCACTTACTATGCCTGACTGTAGAGAGGAACTCCTAAAATCTCATACACAGTTTTGTCTCTGGCAGCCTTACAGAACTGATGCCATTTCTGATGGTTTTTACACGGACACGTTATAGATACTGATGGTTTGGGGTCTAGGCTTCCATACTTTAGGATGGTGCTTCCAGCGTTGCCTGTTAAGCATTAAGGGCTGACGAAGTGTTCATTGGCCTGTGTGTGGTGGTGGCTCTGCACACTTCACCTTGTCTTTGACATTGTCTGTTGAATTCATCTTTTGTTGTGTCAGTTAGCTCATGAGAGCCATGATCACATCATTTCTTAACAGCTGTTTGTTGACTCTTAGTACATGAGAGAGCCATGTAGGAATGGCTCAGAGTGTAGGAATGGCGAGGATAACAACAGGGCATAGGACTTGAATTTGTATTTTACAGGGGGAGGCAGAGCACAGGAATTAATGTATGATGCCATGGTTGCCCACTAATGCTCATATTGGTAAGTGGCTTGTTTTCCTTGTGACTCGTGGGAATACTCCTTAATACTCCTAGTGCTCCCAGTGTTGTGTTCTCCCAGTCTTCTGTCCTAAGACGTCTACTCCATGCTTCCAGTGCTCTCCTTACCCTGACTTTAACTTTGATGAGTTATGATAGTGCCAACTCCCCTTTTATGTTGCCTGTACAGGCCAGCCAGTCTAGCATTTTGTACTTTAATACTTAAGTCATTGGATTTTTGTTTGTTTGTTTGTTTGTTTTTGCTTTTTTGTTTATTTATTTTAGGCATTTCATTTGGAAAAAATTATAGTTTGGTTATTTTGTAACCTAATCTGAACCTTTCCCTTTGTAATAGATGACTCCATTAATATATATATTCAATATGTTGTTACTTACAGGATGTTTTATCTCACTTCACCTGTTTATTTGTTTCTCAAAACAATGTTTCTCTGTGGAGCCTTGGCTGTCCTGGAACTCGCTCTGTAAACCAGGGCAGCCTCAAACTCAGAGATGTGTCTGCTTCTTCTTTCTGGCTCTTATTTTGTTCTTAGTCTTTCCTTCCCTGTAAGTTTTTTAATTTCCTGGAATTTAATTGGCCTGGAATTTCTTTTATTTTTGCTGTTGATAATTTGGAAGAAATATAGTCTAGTTTTATAGAGAGTGGTCTATAAAGTTTTGGAATAACAGGCTTAAATTTGTACAACTTTATTAAGAAA